CCCACTTCCTTTCAATTATTTGTTATGGCTGTTATCATTACCTCGCTGACTACCCGCCCTCAATTATTTTGTTGTTCTGTTAATCGTTACCTCACCTCTGGGAAAACGTTTCCCTCCCCCCCCCCCACCCACACACAGGTTGATGCTATGCAGTCGCTCTTCACCGAGTTTGATGTGGACAACTCGGGCGACCTCAACTTTAAGGAGTACCTCCAGCTGGTGTACTACTGGCAGGAAATCTCGTCGTACGACGACTTGTTCCCCTCAGACTCGGCCGGCGTCGTCCAATCGGCATGCAAGCGGCTCCGTGCTGGCTTTATGAAGTTTGATCCAGACGAGACGCGGACGCTTGATACCAAGGCCATGCGCTCGTTCTGCACCTCGGCTCTCGGCGGCATACCGGACGAGTTTGATGAGCTCTGGGACGCTGTCGTCCATCCGTCCAAGCCTGATCTTGTCTCGGTCTCGCGGTTCATGATGTTCCTATACATGTATGCGTACCCGGAGGGCACGTACCGGATCATCAAGGTGCCGGTGGGCGGCGTGCCGCTTGCCAAGCCCACGCCCGGCAAGGCCAAGAGCAAGGGCAAGCACAAGCACAAGCACAAGCACAAGCACAAGCGGCGCGGATCCAAGGCGCCTATTCCGCTCAACCTTGGTGACGAGCCCGACTTGGCCGACACCTCGCTGACGGTCGACTCGGACGCCGAGGCTGGAGCTTCGTCGTCGGAGCTCCGCGCCGAGCCGCAGGAGATCCAGATGGTGCAGGGCGAGAACGAGTTCTGCGTCCCAGCACACCGCCACCCGCTCCCGATCTTGCAGCCGCAGGGCGTGACTGGGACGTGGAGCTGCGCCATTTGTGCGACGACGGGTACTACCCCTACCCACTGTTGCACCAAGTGCTCGTACGTTCTCTGCACCGACTGCTTCTCCAAGTCTAAGGACGGCTTGTTCGAGTCGGCGCCGGCGCTCGAGTCCGACGCCTCGACGTCGGACGGTGCGAACCCGATCACCAACTCGGAGCTGTGGCAAATGCTCACCGCCATGTACCGCGTTCTCGAGCGTGACTTCTCGCTCTATGACACCGACGGCGACAACGTCATCGACGAGTCGGAGCTCCTCCTTGGCGTCCACAACACCCGCAACGTCGTTAACATTGTCGGCCGCCTTCAGCGGATTTTCCAGAAGGTCGACACCGATGCCAACGGGACGCTCGACTTTACCGAATGGCTGCACTTTGTGTACTCGCTCGTTCGCCGCTCGTCGTACGCACAAGTGGTCGCCCGGACCGCCAATGCCACGGTGGTGGTCGAGGGCATGCGCTGGCTCCGCTCGGCGTACGAGCAGACCGACGCCGACAACAACAAGCGTCTTGACCGCGATGAGGTCATCGAGTTTCTCAACACCTACTTTGGCGGCGTGCCCTCGCACTTTGCCGACCTCTTTGAGCGGTTGCAGGATCCGAGCCGCCACGTCCTCGACTTTGTCGACTTTCTCCACCTCCTCTACGAGCTCGTCTTGCCGCAGGGCAAGTACGCCGGCCTCCCGCGCCGCTCGCGCCGTCGCAAGCGCGAAAAGATCCCGCTCGTCGAAAAGCCCCCCGTTGACGAGCAGGCCTCGGTCGTGGTCTTCCCGCGCCTCACCGACATCACCATCGACGAGATCGAGCTCGGGCGGACGCTCGGCGAGGGCTCGTTCGGCAAGGTCTTCCTCGCCAAGCTCCGCGGCCTGGACGTTGCTGCCAAGTTTCTCACCGAGCAGTACACCGAGGACGTGCTCGTTGACTTCCGCAAGGAGACCGAGCTCATGTCCGAAATGGACCACCCGAACTTGGTCTTCCTCATTGGCACTGCCGACGAGCCGCCCAAGCTCTGCATCGTCACCGAGTACTGCGCCCATGGCTCGCTCTTTGATGTTCTGCAGAAGCAGCGTATCCGCTTTGCGCCCTCGCTCACCCTCTCCATCGCCACAGACATTGCCCGCGGCATGGCTGCCCTTCACGCTATGTCGCCGCCCGTCCTCCACCGTGACCTCAAGTCACTCAACGTCCTCCTCGACGACCGCTGGTCGGCCAAGATCTGCGACTTTGGCCTCTCGCGCTTCTACCTCCAGTCCATTCAGTCCAACAAGTCGCCCATCGGCACTCCGCAGTGGATGGCTCCCGAGGTTATGCAGTCACCGGCCTACGGCCTCAAGGCCGACGTCTACTCGTTCGGCATTGTCCTATGGGAGCTCACCCACTACGCCGTTCCCTTTGCCCACCTCCAGAACCACTTCCAGGTCATGCTCGGCGTCTCCAAGGGCGAACGCCCGCACATCTCGCGATCCACCCCCAAGGTCCTCGCCGCTCTCATGCGCGCCTGCTGGGACGGCTCACCCGACGCCCGCCCGGCCTTTGCCGACATTCTCCAACTCCTCGAGTCGGTCACTGTTGACGATCTGTCGTAGCCCCCCCCCCCCCCCCTCCCCCCCCTCCCCCCCTCCGGAAAGCCCTGCCGTGCACGGAAATGAAGGCCGCCACCTCACACCTCACACAAGCTCCTCCCTCCCCCCCCCCCTCTCTCTCCCTCCCCCCCTCCCGTCCTTTCTACCCCTGATCTGATCTGACAGTCGATTATTCACACCCAGCGGGCGGCACGTGACCCGTGCCCGACGTGCGGCGGCAGCACCCGCCCGACCTTCGCCACCGTGACTCACGTGACCGACGGCGAGTACGACAACGGCGACGACAACGACCACGCCACTCTTCTACACTTTCACTATGCAAGCGACGACTGTAGCCATGCTTGGCATTGTCATGCTCACAGTGGCGATTATGTCGATGACGACGACGGCCATGCCCACGGCCTTGCCAACGACAACCATGACGGGCAGGCGTAGCATGACCGACAAGGTGGCAAGTGGTGGAGGTGCTGGTGTGGCGGTCTCCCTCTCTCAAAAAGGCCTGACGTACATCAAAGACGTGGGCATTGAGCTCATTCTCGCTGAGCTCAAAACCATTTCCGTGCCAACCATTTCTGGCTCGGCAGGCACACCCGTGGGACACGTCGACTACACTCTCTCGAACATTGCCATTACCAACTTGGCTCTGCCAGACTCGATCCTTCAGCTCAAGCCAGGTACCGGCATTCAAGTCGGTGTCTCGTCTGCTGTGTGTGATGTGAGCCTCAATTGGCATTACCGTGAGCACTCTTGGCCACACATCTCCGATCATGGCTCGGCGAGTGTCGACGTCTCCAAGACCACCATCTCCGTCACCGTTGCCATCGGTGAGGCCTCGGGTCGACCCACGGTTGCTGTTGATGCTTCAGAGGTCGACATTGGTTCGTTCCACATCAAGGTCCATGGAGGTGCCTCGTGGCTCTACAACTGGCTCGTCGGCCTCTTCAAGGGCTCGGTCAAGTCCTCGGTCCAGTCCTCGCTCAAGTCGGCCATTGTTGACGCCATCAACAAGCAGGCCGAGGAAGCGCTCGCCACTCTGCCCATCAAGGAGAAGGTCGACAAATACTCGTCTGTCAACTACGCCATGCTCGCCCCGCCAAGCATCACCGCTACCCAGTTCTCGTCGGTCCATCTCGGCCAGTTCCTCTCCAACTCACCGGCGCCGCCCGGCCCCTGGGCTCCAGTCAAGCTCCCGACCACTGTCGACGCCGCCGACGAGATCAACCTTGTCTTCTCGGAGGACGTGGCGTTCTCGGCCGGCTACGTCTACTTTAAGGCCGGCGCTCTCCACACCACCGTCAACGAGCTCCCGTCCTGGTCGCCCGTCTCGCTCAACACCACGTCGATGCGGTTCCTTCTCCCGGCGCTGTACAAGGCGTATCCGGACATGAAGGTCGAGTTTGAGCTCGCCGCCAACGCCACGCCCAACGCCGCCATTTCGCCCGACGGCGCAACGTGCGACGTGCTCGGCAACGTTGCCGTCTACGTTCTCCCCGCCGGCCAGCCGCGCATCTACGCCTTTACTCTTGGCCTCCACCTTTTTGGCACCGGCAAGGTCGCCGTCTCGGCCAACAACATCACCGCCCAGGTCTCGTACGTCGGCTGCAACCTCTCGCTGGCCAACACCACTGCGCCCATCGGCAACTTTAACGTCCAGCTCCTCGACGCCCTCGTCAACCTAGCCGTCTCCAAGGGCCTCGTTCCCTGGATCAACAAGGTCCTCGGCGTCGGCTTCCCCATCCCGGTCGTCTCGGGCATCACCCTCTCGTCCATCGAAGTTGTCTACGGCACCGGCTACGTCGGCCTCGCCTCTGACTTTACCTATGCCCCGCCAACCCTCGGCGATGCCGGCTCCGCAGCCGCTGCGGCCTACAACGCCGCCATGGCTGCCCGTCCCGGCGACGCTGGCGACCTGATCAAGGCCTCGCTCCCGGTCCGCATCGACGAGTAGTGACTTGGCTGTTAACCCTTAACGGTACGGCCGTTCGGACGCGCTGTCGCGCGTCTCAAAGTGAACAACTCGATGAAGCTTGACTTCCAGGTCTCCGGCCGACGCTGCGCGACGCCTGCTTGACCTGCGGCTGGAGATGGGAGGCGTGCCCGATGCGTGGCTTGCACGTGGGGCCTGTCGCCCGACGCTCGTCCCGGCGACGCCCTTGTGTGCAACGTGGCGACGACCTCACTGTTGTCGTGTGGAAGAACTTGATCGACTGCCGTTTCCTGGCAATCTGCTCTCGTCCTCCAGACTCAACAACGTTGTCGTTGCTCGCCGAGTCGACCGTGCGACGCTGGAGCCTCCCCGCCAGCACCGACGCCGCCGACTCCGCGCCGTCGCGCAAGCGGAATCGTCCCTCTGCGCCGACATTCTCGCCAAGAAAGCGCACCTCTGCAGCGGCCGCTCGTCATCACCGCTCGTCATCACCACCTTACCCAGCCTCGCCTGCCGGAGGCTTCATGGTAAGCGATGGCGGCCGCGGACCTTTCGCGCCGCGTGCGGCGTCCATCTCTGCATCGCCGACTGTTTTCTGTTGTGGCAGCCATTAGCACATTGTACTACTCTTTTCCCGCGATCGATGGACGTCTGTGGAGCGTCGCAGAGCGCGCGGCTTGCGCGATGGACGAAATTGTTCATTTCGTACCGTCATGTGTTCAGACTTGCACCGCTAGGCATCGTCGCGCTTGTGCGCCGTGGTGATGGACGGCTCGTTCGGGCCAGGCGGCTTGGGGCCGGGCGGCTTCCAAGCCCGCCGCGCGAGGCGCGAGGCCGAGAGCCGAGCGTCAAGCTCTTTTTGCGGCCACCAGTTGGCCCGCGATCGCGAGGCAAAGATCGCAGCGGACGGCGTTGGCGCAAGCTTGGACGCGTGCTTGCGGGTCGGCGATGGTGACCGCCTGCGCGGCGACGGCGCCAGCGGCATTCGTGAGCCCGAGCTCGGGCGGGACCGCGCCGATGAAGCCGCACCCTGCTGTCCACGCGGCGACGGGGTGGCGCGGAAAATCGAGGCGCCCGGCGAGGCCGCCACCGACATGACTCCGGGCTGTGGCGTGTTGACGACGACGCGGTCGAGGGCGGCGCCATCGCCGACACTGTCGTCCACAAAGGCCAGCGACTGCTCGTTGAGCGCCGCCGCCACCGAGTTGAAGATAGACTCGGAGCCGTTGAACGACGGCTGGTCATCAGCCGACTCCGAGTCGGCCGGCGGCGGCTGATCGTCGCTAAAGAGGGCGCCGCCAGGCGCCTTGGCCTTGAGCTCGGCCAGCAGCGCCCGGAGCTCGGCGTTCTCGGTCTCGTACTCCTCGAGCTGGAAAGTGAGATGGGCGTTTTGCGCGCGGGCGTTCTCCAGCTGCGCAAGCAGGACGGCAGCATCCGCATTGGGGTCAATTGGCTGGCTCTCGCGCGCCGGGCCTGAGGTCATGGCCGGGAGCGGGGCATCCGGCAGCGATGACCGGTAGTGCGAGCCAGCGCGGACGACGGCTTCCAGACCTCGCTTCTCGGCCTCGAGGGTGGACACAATGTCGCGCAGTCGCTTGGCGTCGGTCGACGACGAGTGATCTGCGAGCCGCGACAGCTGCTCGGCGTGGCCGTCGATGGCAGCTTCGCGGTTGCGCAGCTGGTCCTCCAGCTCGGCGATGCGCTCCTGAGAGTCGCGGAGGAGCGCACGGGTGTCGTTGAGCGAGCGGGTGAGCGCGCGGACCTCGGACTGGGCCTCGACCATGCCCTTGTGGGCGTTGCGGAGCTCCGAGTCGCGGTCGAGGTCCATGGACCGTTCGGCCTCGGCGGCTGAGTGGTTGGCGTGGTCGAGCTGGGCGAGCAGCTCGGCCTTCTCGCTCGCGTGAGCATCTTGCTGCTTGGCCAGTTCTTTGTGGACAGCCGAAGTCGAGGCGTGAAGCATCCGCTCCAGCTCGGCGTTCTCGTGCTGCAGCTCGAGGATAACATGCTGCAGCTCGAGGACCTCGGCGGCCTTCTCCGACTCTTCCCGCACCGACTGCAGGCGGCGGAGCTCATCAGCCTCGTTCTTGCTCACCTCGAGCGCCTTGCGGAGCTCGAGCACCTTTTCTCGCTCCTGCGAGAGCAGCGTGTCCTTGGCATGGAGCTGTGCTTGCAAGCCGACCAGGGCGCCTGCGTGAGCCTGGTTTGATGCGGGAGTTCCAGACTGCAGATTAGATCCCAAGAGCTCCACCTCTCTCCGAGCGTTCTCCTCCTTCAGCTCGTTGAGAAGGGAAGATCTTCCAGGAGTAGCGATGATGGACTCGATGGCAGCGGTGGAAGGAGGACCAAATAGCAGCTTTGTGGTTTGATCCAGCCTGCCCGACGAGAAATTGTCGCTCGTCGAGTCACTCTTTTTCCCGTTGGGCGTAATGCGATGAAATGGCGGAAGTGTGGCAGAGTCCGAGCCAACCGAGCCATGCGTGGCTGCCAGGTCGCTCCGTCGCTTTCCTGCCCATACTTGGTCCTCACTCACGTAGTAGCGGTCAGGAATGGCTCGCTGTTGCTCCTCTATTCCAAGGTGTGCCATACGAACTGTCACCCTGTTTGAGTTGCGTGGTCGTCGTGTAGCCCGCGTACTACCTCCTCCCGTCGCCGTCGGCTCCTGGCGGAGGGGGGGTGCGGGGGCTGGGGCTGGGGCGGAGGCGGCGAGCCGGTTGCTCGTCAGCCAACTGCTGGCACTCGACCGCCGCCCAAAGATATGACAAGAGTGACTTTGATGTTGGTTGGAAGGAGGAGGGAGGGGAGGGAAGGCGAGGTGAGGGGAGGGAAGGGGAAAAAGGACATCATGATGAGGATGTAGCGGCAGTGGTGGAGGAAGGGAGGATGACGCGGGAGGGATCGGCGAGTTCGGCTTCGGCTTCGTCGAGAACAAGGAGGTTGTTGACGATGCCGTCCGAGCCGACGCAGATCGGAAGGTAGGAGATAAGGTGCCATTCGTCATCGACGACCAACTTGTAGGTGTGCTCGCCTGGAGGAATGAGGACTGTGACCGAGGCCTTTGCACCGTCTGCGGTGATGGTGAGAGGGATGGAGACTGCCCACGGCGGCGAGGTGAACGATCCGCGCAGCACCGCCGAGGTGCACGGGTACTTCCACACAAACGTGTGCTTCACCAGCTTTGTCGTCGTCATGTCGATGCTGGGCGAGGCCACAAACACGTTGCGCTGCGTCGCGAAATGGAGTGAGTCAGGCGGCCGTAATCAGTCGTATACATCCCACGCATGGCTATCCACCACACGCATGGTAGTCAGGCGCATAGTGATCAGGCGCATGGTTGTCAGGCGCATAGTGATCAGGCGCATGGTTGTCAGGCGCATAGTGATCATGCGCATAGTGACCAGACGCACAGTGATCAGGCGCACAGTGATCAGGCACATAGTGATCAGGCGCATGGTTGTCAGGCGCATAGTGATCAGGCGCATGGTGATCAGGCGCATAGTGACCAGGCGCATGGTGATCAGGCACATAGTGATCAGGCACATGGTTGTCAGGCGCATAGTGAACAGGCACATGGTTGTCAGGCGCATAGTGATCAGGCGCATGGTGATCAGGCACATAGTGAACAGTTGCATGGTGCCCCCTCCTCATCTCATCACCCCATGAGCAACGTACCACCAAGGGAGCTTCCCAAGTGGAAGAAAACGACTCTTGAGTCCTTGGATCACCCAACATTGAAAACGAGGGAGACTCTGCATGAAACGACGGAGGTGTCGATGCGGTGAAAACATCACCACCTGCATGTTGCCCGACTCCCGTGCCACCAGCAGCACGACCAGCACCATCTCCACCACCACCACCAGCACCAACACCAGCACCAGCACCAGCACCAGCACCACTGCCGCCTCGTCGTCCAGGAATAGTCACAGACACACTTCGACTTGCTGACATGGTTCCCTTCCCCAGTCAGTGAGGTGTGGCCAGGTGGCCTCAATACGCCTGTCCCCCCCCCCCCCCCCCCCCCCCCCCGTCTCTCACACACACCTTGCCCTGTCAGTGTTGGTCCCTTTGTGCGCTGCCGCACGAAAATAATCCATGTCGTCTCCACCGAATTCATATCCGTGCCTTGTGTGACCGCGATCGTCACCCGGCAGCTCAACCATGTCAGCCATCAGCCGGCATCACCATAGAGGGGGGGTTGTGCACCTGTGTCTAATTAACTGCGGGTGGTATCATGAATGGGAGGGCGGATCATGCGAGCCGATTTTAGGCTGATCGAAGAGAGTCGTAGCGCGGCGAGTCGACCGGACCCAGCCGATCGATGCACTCGGACTGCAGTGCAAGGGAGGCACGGCATGCCTTCAGCTGCTCGACGACGGCGAGGCGCTCTGGCGTATTTGGTGCGTACAGCGAAGCCATAGCGGTGAGTCCAGCCCGGACCTTGTTGAGCTTTTCACGCGCCTGGATGGCCTTGTCCAGCGCCTCCCAGTCGCGGAGAACCGCCGCAGCATCAGCCGTGGCCGTCGACGTCGGCGCGCCGAGCGTGTGCTTTCGTGGCCGCAGCGACGGCGTATCGCCGCCCAGGGATTCAACATCGTAGTTGTCGACGTCCGAGTCGGACGAGAGGGCGAGCGAGTCAAATTCAGAGATGTCAAACTCGCTCTCCGAAAACGTCGGCACCGCGAGCGCGTCGTCAAGCACCAGCGAGAGCCGCGATCGCGCCTTGGACCGCGAGCGCAGCCGGGTCACCGCCGGAATGGCGAGCGTTGCTTGCTGTGGCCTTGCCGACTCCGGCTCCACATCGGGTTGGGGCTCAGACTCGGGCTCTGGATCCGACTCCGACTCGGCCACAGCCTCAGAGGCAAGATCGGCGATGCCGGACCCGATCGCCTCGGCGAGTTCGGTGATGACCGGGTTGGGCCCGCTGGAACCGTCATCGGCAAGAAGCGTGTCGTGTAAGACCATGGAGAGGCGCGACCGGGTCCTAGACATGGCGTCAGGGGCAAGCAGCGCACTGGGTGGCGCGCTCTCGCCGGCCGCCGGCACAGCGCCGGCGGTCTCGCTACCTTTGCCTTTGTCATCGTCGCCACCGGCGCTCATAGCATCGCTCAGCGCATCGTCGAGCGAGAGCGCGGCCAGCGGAATCGTCAGCGCATCATCCAGGACCATCGAGAGCCGCGACCGCTCCCGCGGCAGCTCGTCGAGTAGCGGGCTCTTGGGCTTAGTCGGCAGGCAGTCGAGCGCCTTGTGGTATCGCGCATCGTCAATGACCACCGACACACCCATGTTGTAGATCCGCTCGCCACAACCGGTGCACCGCTCGGCCCTTTCACCGGCCTTCTGGGCCCCATCCTCGGCCGCCATGGCCATCAGCTCAGACATGGCCACCTGCATCTTGACCAGCTCACGGTCGATCTCGGACTCGGTGTCCTTGCGCCGCTGGGCATGCCCGGCTGCCCTCGCCACCGCAGCATGCTGCGACATGGGCGCGGGCCTGGCTGCATTCTCAGACTGCGCGGACTTGGGCTCGGGCGCGAGCTCGGGTTCAGGCGCAGGCTCCGGCTCCGGCTCGGGCTCGGGCTCGGATGCGGGCTCGACTTCAAGTGCCGGGTTGGACGAGATGGCGGCTGCCACCGCCGCGAGCTCGTCGGCAAGAAAGTCATCGTCTGAAGCACCATTCTGATTGCCAACCGGAGTCACAGAGTCGTCAACCGACGCCACAGAGTCAGTGGCCGGCGTCTGATCGTCAAAACCGACCGAGACGGCGGCAGCATCAGATGCGCAAGACAGCGACGGGTCGGGGGTGGACTCTGGAGAGGGGTCGGGGGTGGACTCTGGAGAGGGAGCGGGGCTCGGCTCTGGGCTCGGCTGCGGGGTAGGCTCCGGTTGTGGCTTTGGGGTCGGCAGCGGAGTTGGGACCGGCGACGCTGCGAGAGCAGCCGGCTTGCGGGCAAAGCGACGATGGCCAGCGATGCGAGGGATGTCAGGAATGTTGATGGATTCCAAGCGAACGGCAAAAGAGTAGAGAGCACCAGCCACGGCCTTTGTGTTGACAGTTGTGTTGACAATGTCCATGGGAAGGAAGAGTTGATGAGGAGCGAGGCCAAAGACGTTCTCTGCCGCCGCGAGAAAGTTAGAAACGTTCTCCATGGCTGCAATACGCCTCAACAAAGCCGATGAACCAATACGAACCACCAACTTTGACTCGGCTGGTTCATACAAATCCAAAAGTACGTTGATGAGCACACAGAGCACCGTTCCATCGCTCACGAGCTCTTCCAAACTGTTCAACTCGGCCAAGTGCTCCGGCAGCTGCTCGCCAACTGTCTCCACAACCCAGTCATAGACAGCCTCCACCTCGCCAACACGACCACATGCCATGGTACAAGCTCGCCTCCACGGCCTTCCCTTCTCTTCCCTCCTTCTGCCCCACTTGCACTGTCCCAGAGACAGACAGAGATGAAGAGAGGTGCGCACACAAGTTGCAAGCTCGCTGCGCCAGCCCTTTGCCTATGGCGCTCGAGGCCCGACCCGTCTCTTGGTCGACCCTTGGTTGTCACGATTATTCAACGTTGGATTTATCGTTGGCAGTGGCTGGGCTGGCGCGATAGCTGAGATTGTGGTCGTCACCCCGCAGCCGCCTGTTGTATGTATACACATGCAGTGTGTTGTGGGTATGGGTGTGGATGGTGGTGTGGACGTGTGTGTGATGACTATCAGTGCATGGCCTGCATGCATCGATTAATCAACGTTGCATTTATCGTTGCTGAAGATGGCAACCATGCCAACGTCAAATTATCGATGCCACTCGATTCGCCAAGCGTCCCACGTGTCGGCTACGCCACTTCTCGCTCGGCGGCAGCCATGTCTCGCGGACTCTTCACCCGACAGGAGGAGCCATGCGGAGAGCTGTACGGAGCAGAGCCTGGAGGACCCAAGCCTTTGAACCACTTGACAACTTTTGAAAGTGATGATTGTTCTGCTGCGAGCACAGTCGCTGCAAGTCCAGGCACTATGCCTGTGAGCGAGGCCGAGACGAGGGGCGTGACCAAGGCGGATCTGGCTCTGATGACCACGATCATGACCAACAGCTCATCGACATTGCATCCGAGTGGGGGATTCCCCGGTGGACCTCCGGTAAGCTCATCGGTATTCGGCGTGAGCCTCGAAAAGCTCCTCGCTTGGGAAGAGGCCCATGCAAGGTCACTCGATCTCATGGCCTCTATCAAGGCTGGCACGTGGGCAAGGTCGTCGACTCGTCCGCATGTCCTCCTCAAAGTCCCTTATGTTGTCACTCAGGTTGCGCAGCATCTGAGGGCCGAACAGGGCCTGGCTAGAGAAGGCATCTTTAGACTCTCGGGCAGATCGTCCCAGGTCAAGGCGCTCAAGGAGGCCTTTAACTCAGGCAGAGCCGTGAACATTGCTGCCACTTCGTCAGACGTCTTTGCCGTCGCTGCTGTCCTCAAGCTCTGGCTGAGAGAGCTGCCCGAGCCGCTGTTTGGCTTGGATGTTGTCCGCGAGCTCCGCGCCCTCGCTCCCGACGTCGAGGCTGCTCGTGCCGACGCCGAGCCTGCTGCCCTTGTCGAGCGCATCGGCTCGCTGCTCCGCGCAAGCTTGCCGCCAGCTGCCATCGTCACCACCGTCTACCTCTTGGAGTTTCTTGCGGAAGCCGCCTCACATGCGGGCAGGTCCAAGATGGGCGCAGCAAACCTCGGCATTGTGTTTGGCCCCAACCTGCTGCGGCTGCCGCGGACGTCTCCGGTTGATGCACTCCAACACGCCAAGGCCGACGCCACCATTGTCGCCTTTCTCATTGACCATGCTGCAGCGCTGGTAGCCATCATGGCTGACGCCGTTGTCGACAGCTCCGGCGGCGAGAGCAAGGCCGACGTCTCTGCGGCCGCCAGCGCTCTACTCGCCCGGGTCACCACGCTTGAGGAGGAGAATGCCCGGCTGGGCTCGCAGCTTGCCGCCGCACAGGACGCGTTGGACACGCTGCAGTATGAGCAGGGTGTGGCGCAGAGCCAAGAGCTGGTCAACGCCAAGCTCAAAATCGCCACCGACCAGGAGAAGATCGCCATGCTCTCGATCCGGCTCTCGCAGGCCGAGCACGCGCTCGCGTCTGGCGCAGGCCGCATGCCGCTCGGGGCTATGCACGAAGAGACCATCCAGCTCTTCCAGAGCGAGCTTCGCAAGCTGCAGATGGTCAACGCTGACCTCGAGATGCGACTTGTTGAGCAGGCCGGCGGCAAGGTGACCGACACGCAGCTCACTGCCGCCAATGCTCGGCTCCACAACGAGCTCATTGAGGTCAAAAAAGAGCTAATCGACGCCCAGCTCAACCTTGACGCGAGTATAGCTTCAAACGCAGGCTCTCGCATAGACTCGCCTGCCCCGCTCTCGCCGCCAGCCTCGCCGTCGACACCCAAGCCGTCGCGCATACGGCCGGTTGCCACACCGGTCTCGCCGCTCTCGACGCCCGGCAAGATGGCGGCCGAGATCGAAAGGCTGCGCGCCGAGACTCTGGCTCTTCGCGAGGAGCTGACTGCAACCGGGGCTGATTGCGGCGGGCCAGAGCTTCGGGCAACACAGGCTGAGCTTGCAACGGTGGCGGCCGAGCTGGCGTCGTCGCGGGCAGCCGAGACCCGGCTGCGCCTTGCGCTGGAAGCGAGTGACGCACGGAGCGGTGGGCATCAGGACTATGCGGCCGATGATGCTGGTCCGCCGACCCGTGACTATGACGAGGTGGTGCGGGCATACACGCAACTATCGAACGAGATGGAGCTTGTGGCCGGGAGAATGGCTGAGGCCGAGGCCGAGGCTGGGGCGCTTATGGACGAGTGCTCGTCGCTGCGGGCCGAGCTCCAGCTTGTGCACAATGAGCGGCTCGAGTTGTACGAGGAGAACTCTGCACACGTCGAGTCGATTGCGCAGCTGCAAAAGATGCTCTACAACATGCATGTGGCGTCGGACGCCATCGCCAAGCAGGTCGCTGCTACCCAGTCTGTTTTAGACGAGCTCGAGTCGGTCTACGCGCGGCTGGGCAACGCCGACGCGCTCATCTCACAGCTCCGCGCCGAGAAACTGGCGCTCGAGTCCGAGTCGCTAGCGCTGCGGCGGGCCAAGCTTGCTGCGGAGACGCAGCTGTTCCGTGCCAAGGCTCCGCTGGACGAGCGGGCGATGCCGGCCAAGCCGGTCGACGTCCCGCGGGTGCTTGCGTGGCTCGGGGCCGAGCTTTCGCCGGAGCTGGCGGCGCAAGTGACGGCGGCGGCGGCAGCAGACAGGTAAAGGTGGCTGCGAGCGGTGGTATGGTAGTTTAGTGCTTCAGCTGGGCGGCGTTAACCCGTGCGGCGCGGGCGGCGACGCCGTCCTTGAGCTCGCGGAGCTTGTGGCGCTTGGCGTAGTCTGCCAGGAACGAGAGGGTGGACTGTGAGAGGCGAAGGTCGGCGTCGACGACTGCCCGCCAAAGCGGAGCATGTCATCGTGGCGGGCGCGCGGGCTCGATCCAATCTTGTGGAAGAGGGCCATGAGGGTCTTGAGCATGGGCGCCGAGCCCGAGCCGACCATGTCACGTAGGGCGTCGAGGAGGGCACCGGCCGGGGCGGTCGGCTCGGCGAGGCCGCGCAGCAGATAGTCGTAGCCGTTGCGTGATGGAGGTGACCCTGCAGCACACATGGCAGCGTAGAGCGCTGTGAGGCGAGGGACGTCCTTGTGCAAACACGCACCCTTGAGGAGGAAGAGGTAGGTGGCAGAATTGGGGGCGAGGCCGTCGCGCTCGAGGTCGGCGTAGAGGTCAAAGGCAGTGTCGAGGGCGCCGAGCTCAACGGCGGCTGAGATGGCGGCATTGTGGACGATGAGCGGGTCGGTGACGCCAGGCGCCGACTGGGCCTCGCGGAGTAGAGCGACGGCGCGGTCAAGGTCGCCGCACGACTTGCTCGCGTTGATGAGCGCAGCGTAGAGGTGGTGGTGCGGCTCGACGCCGGCGTCGATGAGCGAGTCAAAGAGGGCAACGGCGCGGTCAAGCTGGGCGGCGATGCCGCAGGCGACGAGGAGGATGGCGTACGAGCGGCGGTTGGGTTCGATGCCGGTGGCGCGCATGCGTTGGGCATGGGCAAAGGCGTCGTCAGCGCGGCCAGCGGTGGCGAGCGCAGTGAGAAGCACGTTGTGGACGACAACGTTGTGGGCATAGCCGGCCGTCCGCATGGCGTCAAAGTAGAACTGGACGCGATCGAGCCGTTCCTGCTTCATCGAGAGCGACATGAGAGTGTGGTAGGTCTCCTCGTTGGGCAGGATGCCATCGAGCAGCATGTCTTCATACATAGCGTCGAGCAGCTCGCCACGGCGCCAGGCAGCAATGCGCGACGAGCTTGCCAGCGAGTGGATCCACTCGTTGGCCTCGTCGATCGAGTTCAGACGCGGGAGGACCGAGGAGTGATGGGCGACGTCCAGCCGCGAGCCATGCCTCCCTGCATCGACGGCAAAGCCATCCAGTCCGTCCAGCCCGTCTCCGCTCTGTCCAAGAGAATGCCCCTGTCGAGCAATAACGACATCTTCCTCCTCCTCCTCCTCATCATCGATGCCGTCGCCAAAGGCCATGGCCACACCCTCATCGTCATCCCCAGCTCGCGCAGCAGCGCGCAAAGTAGCCATCGCCCTTGCACCAAACGGGGTGAGGTAGGCCATCGGAGACGAGAAGATAAAGGAAGAACAGGCGAGGGTGTTTCTTGATCTTGTCGAGTCACCAAATGACTTGACCCACGAACTGACGATGATGGCTCTCTCTGCCTTGTCGGTCAAAGTCGAGTTGCCCGACTCAACCCCCACCTCCTCTACACCGCCCAACCTCGCCAACAAGCTCGTCATGCGCTTGCCAATGTCCCGCACATAGCTTCCTGTCCTTGCATATGTCACGTGACATGCACGCAGCTGGCCCAAACTCCGCAGCATGCCCTCGAGTCGGCGGCAGGGTGAGGTGCTGTGAGCTGGGGGGCGGAGGCGGGCGATCGGGGCCGAGGCGGGCGATCTGGCTCGAGCAGGGGATTGGGTTTTGATCAAGACGATTGAGGCCATCGATGTGGAGTATCATGGTTGTATGGTTGGTGCTTGTGTGTGGGGCTGTTGACGCTGTGTCGTGGGTGGCGGTACGGGGAGGCGGGTGATCAGACAGTCATCGGCGTAATTGGGGCGAGTGCGGGGAGCGGGGCATTGGTGGCGAATCGTGGACAGACTCAACTCGACGCGGGGAGAGGATGCGAACAGCTACGGGTATGTGGATTTGCATGATCACAGTTGCGACACTTGCGATGTGCTCTACCGGAGATGAGGTTCTGGAAGCGGAGGAGCTGGAAGTTATGCTGGCTGGAATGAAAGTGGGCGAGCGGTTTGCGAGCGAGGCGCATGCGCCGGTTTTGGTCATTCCGGGACTCGGCGGATCTCAACTGAACGCGACGTTGGCCAAACCACATACTGTCCACGTGTATTGCACCAAGAATCAAGGCTCGCATCTGCAATGGTTGAAGATCTCGTCGTTGGTCGCGTCTCGCGATTGCTTCTTTGACAACATTCGCCTCGTCTATGATGACGTCGACAACGTGTACTACGACTCGCCAGGCGTGACCATCACACCTGTGGGCTACGGAACGATGGATGGCGTCAACTCGTTGGACAATGAGTTTGGCTTTCGCTCCATCACCACGTACATGGCAAAGCTGACGGCGGCCTTTACCGCTGCCGGCTACGTGAATGGCGGCGATCTCCGCGCTGCCACCTACGACTTCCGCCGCCCCCCTACGCCCAGCCCGAGTGGTTCTCGGCGACCATGGACATGATTGAGGAGATGTACACCGAGGCCAACGGGACGCAGGTCCACATCCTGGGCCATTCGATGGGCGGGGCCATGGGCTCTTATCTTTTGGCGAACGCGGATCCGGCGTGGAAGGCCAAGTACGTGGCGTCGTTCATTCCCATGGGCGCACCACTCGGCGGCGCGCCTGGCGTCCTCAAGGCGCTGATATCGGGCGCTTCGGTCGGCATGACCTTCTTCAACATCTCTCTGGTCAAGCCGCATGACTTTGCGGTTGCCATCCGCAATTGGGTGGTGTGGTGTGGTTGGCGCCGAACAAGCACGCCGCGGTGGCCGACTGCATCGTGACCGACGCCTCGACAGGAGTCTGCTATGGGCTCAACAACATTAGTCGGCTGTTTGTCGACGCCAACGCGACGTCGACGGCGCAGATCTACAGCCAGACGTTGCTGTTGGATCTCGGGACAGCGCCGCCGGGCGTCCCGGTCCACTGCCTGATCGGTAACTCTGTGGAGACCGAGGTAGCGTTCTCGTATCCGTCTGGGCTTGGGCAGCAGCCAGCAGCGACAACGACCATGGATGGCGATGGCACGGTGCCGGGCACCTCGCTGCGGGTGTGCGGCCAGTGGGGTGCGCGCCAGTCTGCGCCGGTCGAGCTGCGGACGTTCGACAAGGCCGAGCACGGCGCTATGCCGGGCAACCCAGAGATCCTCGACTACCTGCTGCAAATTGTGACGACATCATAACATGCATGTCTTGCTTCTCGTTTGTCGAGCACCGCTACGGAGTGGAGATGACACCGGTCCGGATAATCGTGACGGTCTTGGACGGGACACCCGACTGGGTGCCAGCAGTCTCCATGGCGTCAACGACGTCAAAGCCGTCGACAACGTGGCCAAAGACGACGTGGTGGCCATTAAGATGCGGCGCTGGGTTGAGCATGAAGCAGAACTGCGATCCGTTTGTGTTTGGCCCGGCGTTGGCCATCTGCAGCAAGTACCGCGCGTTGTGCTTGAGGGCGAGGCCGGCGGGCTCGTCGTCAAACGACCCGCTCGGGTAGATGGAGCGGCCGCCGCGGCCGTCACCACGGGTGATGTCGCCGCACTGAACAATGAATCCGTCAATGATGCGATGGCAGTTGTGGCCAGCAAAGGTCAGCGTCTTGCCATTGGGAAGCTCGGTCCCCTTGCAGAGGCCGACAAAGTTTGCAGCGGTCTTGGGCACAACGTCATCGAGAATCTCAGCGACGACCCGACCTGCGGCAGCACCATCGATCTCGACATCGAGCCAGACCATGCTCCTTCCAGGCTTACTCGGCGTGTATACCTTGCCCGCAAAGCCATCGTCCTCCTCCGCGAGAACGGCAGCATCATCACTTGATACGGCCTTGTCCTTGCCCGTGGCCGAAATAGAGGCGATGCCGCTGTTCTTCCCACCAATAGCCGCACTTTCAACAACACCATCATCCTTGCGACTACCATCACCAATCTCTTCCATGTCATGTCGTTCACCTTGAGCAGAGCGTGTGGGAACAGGATGAAAGCCACCACCGCCTGCCGCCAACCACCAAATAAAGAGCACCAAACAAGCGGCGAGGGCTACCGCCACCAAACGACCTTGCGTGACGACGCCTACGTTTTCATTGGCATAAAAAACACGTCCGCTCTCAGTCGTCATGTTGTCACCCAGTCCAACAACTGTGGTAAGCGGCGAGAAGTGGTCCGTGTCCTGCAAGCTGCTGCTGCTCGTTGCCGCCGCCTGTCCGCTCGCCCCTTTGCCCGCCCGCCGGATCGGTGACGACCTGGCGTATGATGGCGAACCCGAACCCGAACCCGAACTCGATGACGTTCGAGCGGTAGCGGGTGAAGCAAGTGTCGGCATGCATGGCCATCAGACCGTAGCTGTCGTCGTGCTATTGGAGCCCGTCCTTCCTTGCTCCCTCCCCACTCGCCCGATCGATGACGACCTGGCGAGAGATCACGATCACGATCACGATCACGGTCACGAACAAGAGGCAGGTGGCAAAGGGGATGGGTATGGGCATACACTTGACGTAGAGCATGCTGAGGGCGGGAATTGGCGGAGTGAGGCGTATGGTTGAAGGAGCGGTGCGGAGGAGGGCCAGTAGCTACTCGCATGAGCCTCCGCTTGGTTGGGGCAAGTCGCTCTACGCCGAGGGCGTGGCTGTGGACACCCTCGATGGTATGCACCTGCCCATGTACTACTTGACGGGCAAGGTTCTGCTGACGACAACCTTTGCGCTTCATTCAAAAGTTCGGGCAAATGATGGCGTTGTGGAAAAAGCGGCGGCGAGTCACATTCCGGAACTGGAGGCAATGTGGCAAGAGCTGAGGTCAAAGGGTCTCTTTGTGCTGGCCTCGCCTGTCGAGGGAGTCGATGGAAGTGAGGAGCTTGATCGCGAGGCGCTGAGGGAAGAGGTCCACAACATGGGCGTGACGCTGCCGTTGACAGAAGTTGCTGATATTGGCGAGAAGCCGAGCTCTATCTATCGGTTCGTTGCACGCGAGCTGAAGGAGAAGCCCGAGCTGATCCCGGCCGGCGTCTTCCATCGCGTCCTCTTCTCCCGCCGCGGCAAGCTTGTCGGCTCATTTGATGCGTCTGTCCCTACGTCGGACGTGCTGAAGCACGTCATTGCCGAGCTCAACACGACAAAGTGAGCGTATGGCTGGCCTAGGCTACCGCTGCTGGTTGGTAAACTACATCCGGTCGATGAGCTTGTTGACGATAACGGTGACAGCGAGAATGAGGGCGACGTAGATCCAGGTCGGATCGCGCTCGTTGCGGCGGGCCTTGGGCCGGGCCTTCTTCTGTGGCACGGGCGGCTCCGACATGGCGCTGCGTGACATGGACGACTCGGGAACCGGTGGCAGCTTCCTGGGCAGCCGCCGTCGGACCGGTGCCTGTTCCATGTGCAGCGACATTGTCTCCACGGTTGAGCCTGAGTCGATCGAGGCCAGATCGGCTTCGGATGAGGTTGTCACCGTTTCCGAACTCGACGACGGATTGCGACTGGCCGGCTTGGCAGAGCCGAGCAAAAGCGTGGACTTTGACGTGGCATCCACCGTGGTCGTCTTTGGGGAAACGAGTGGGGGCACGACATCCATGCCCGGGACCGGCGAGGAGGCGCTCGGGATCTTAGACTTGAGCTTCCTCTTGCTCTTCTTTCTCTTGCGCTTCTTCTTCCGCTTCGACTTGCGGTCCCGGTCATCACTGGACAATGAGGCGGATGACGTACTCGAGTCGGCGGACAGCGGCGCGTCGTAGATGTGCTTGGGCGCCTCGGCAAGGATGACGGTGGCGGCAGCAAGGGTGACATCAACTTTTTCGATCGACGCTGAGCAGAGCGACGGGACCGAGGCCGAGCACATCGAGTTCTGCTTGGAGTCGTACGAAAGGCGCGCCAGCCGCCCCGAGTCCGAGTCCATGTCCGAGTCCGAGTCCGAGTCCGAGTCTGAGCCTGACGATGAGCCAGAGGCGACAGCAGGCTCACGCAAGGCCTTGTCGCTGGGCTTTTGGAGAAGGGTCATTGCGGTCGAGACCGAGTTGGACTGCGAGATTGAGGCCGAGTACTCGGGGGCGTAGTCACCGTTGACGAGCGCAGACTCGATGGCGGCGTGGTAGCCCTCGAGCTCCTTGCAGAGCATGGAGAAGAGAGCGTCGAGAAAGAGCGGCTTTGCGATGAAGCCGTCCATGCCGGCGTCCATGCACTTTTCGACTTCTTGCGACATGACTGCGGCAGACATGGCGATGACGCGGGTGTGGCGCGAGGGGTGCAGCTCAGCTTCGGCCTCGCGCAGCCGCTTGGTCAATTCGTAGCCCGAGAGCGACGGCATGTAGCAGTCGAGGAGTACGAGATCGTACGAGTTGGCGACGATCTTGTCAAGCGCCACTTCTGGGTCGCTTTCGGCCTCGGCGGTGAGCCGCAAACGGGAGAGCATGAGCTGGGCCACGTCAAGGTTAGTCTGGTTGTCGTCGACGATGATGACGTTAAATGCGTCGGGCAGGAGCATCTTGAGGCGGATGATGGCAGCAACGTTGGTGGTGGACGAGTCAAAGGGAGCGAGCCGGGTGACAAAGCTTGAATCAGAGCCGACCGAAAGCCATCCGTGGGCTGAGCCGGTTGTCAAGGTCATGGTGATGGCGTCGTGGACGGTGTGCGGGAGCATGGGCCGCACAAGGGTGGCATCAAAGACGACCTCCCAGCGGGCGTTGAGCTTCTCGTACGACGACATGACGACAATCTTGGCGGTCGGCGGCTCGGGCATGTGCTGCAGCTGCTCGGCGAGGGCGTCAGCGGCAACGTCACCAAGCTCGGTGGAGATAAAAATGTAGGCGTATGGCCGCTTGTCGAGGATGGCCTTGGCGGTGGCTGTGTCCTTGGCGACAGCGAGCATGGCGCGCATGCCGGATTCTGCGGTTTCGACCTCAAAGCCGATGGTGGAGCAGTAAAGTTCCATGGCTGACGAGGCGACGGGGTCGGCCTCGACCAGCAGCGCGCGCTTGCCAACAAATCGCAGGTCGGCGATGCGATCCCGGATGGTGAGCAAAGACATGAGTGAGGAGACAGCCGAGTCTGTGGAGATCGAGTTGTCGACCGAGGTCGAGTTGGGCCCGCCGAGCGCCGACGGACCGGGGGCGAGGCTGTCGGCGCGGAGCGCAAACGGGATGTCGACGATGAACGAGGTGCCGACGTCGACGGTGGACTCGACAGTGATGGAGCCGCCCATGAGCTCGACTATCTTCTTGGAGATGACGAGACCGAGGCCTGTTCCGCCGTACATGCGGGCGATGGAGGCCTCGGCCTGGCGGTAGGGCTGGAAGAGGCGATCGAGCTGCTCATCGGAGATTCCGATGCCGGTGTCTTCGATGGTGATGCGAAGGTTCTGGGTCGTTGACGAAGTCTCGGTTGGCACAACGTGGATGACGACGCGGCCGACAGAGGTAAACTTGACGGCGTTGTTGACGAGGTTGAGGATGACCTGCTTGAGACGCGACGGGTCGCCGACGACAGTGAGCGCGGTGGCCGGCGAGACGTGTGCGACGAGGCCGATACCCTTGCTCTCGGCCTTGGGCCCGACAATCTGGGCCGACTGCTCGATGAGCTCGACGGGCGAGAAGGCGATGGCCTCGAGCGAGAGGTTGTCTGACTCGATCTTAGAAAAGTCGAGGACGTCCGAGATGACAGCCTGGAGCGAGTTGGCGGAGGAGCGGATGGTAGAGACATAGACTCGCTGCTGGGCGTTGAGCGGCGAGAGCTCGAGCAGCTCGGACATGCCGATGACACCGTTGAGCGGGGTGCGGATCTCGTGGGACATCTTGGCGAGGAAGGCCGACTGGGTCTTTGCAAACGTGATGGCGATCCGCTCCATCTCCATGCGCTTGATGACAGCGGCGCGGAGGAGGGTATTCTTGTGGCGCAGGGCGCGGGTTCGCCGGCGGACGGTCCGCTCCAACCTGTTCTTCATCCGCTCCACTTCGGACTCTGCAAACTGGCGCATGCGCTGGTTGCGGAACGAGGTGACAATGTTGCCGACAGTGAGGAGGAGAGGTTCGAGAAACTCGACGACGTGCGAGGTGTAGCCGACCGGCCGGTTGGCGACGCCGACCATGCCGACAAGTTCGCCGCCGTGCTTGAGCGGGACGCCGAGGAAGGCGTTGAGCGGCGGATGGCCCTCGGGCCGACCGGCCGGCGAGCGGAACTCGTCGGTGTCGGGCGAGTTGGCAATGTACGGTTCGCCGGTGATCATGACTCGGCCAAAGAGCGTGTTGAGATTGTCAAAGACAAAGCCACCCTTGGTGGCAATCTGGTTGTCGTAGTACTCGCGCATCTGGTCGTTCCACGCAATGTTGGTGATGGCGTGGGTGAGCAGGACTGGCTCGCCCTTGACGTCGACGATCTCGCCGATGAACCCGTACTCCGAGTCGGTCAAGGTGAGAATAGCCTCGAGGAGCGTGCCGAAGACTTGCGCCGCCGGCGTGTCAATCAGGCACTGCGCCTGGGCGTGGATGATGCACTCGGTTACGCGCCCACTCCGCCGCTTCAGATACTCAACCGGGTCGTCGGCCATAAGCACAAGGTCTTCCTCCGAGAGCGAGACCTTGTGCGACTGGAGCTTGGGCCACCAAATGTTGCCGGATGTCGGCGAGTCGACCACATACCCCGACTGACGTGCTTCCAGTTCGCGGGCGGCCCGCAACTCGTCGTCATCATCGGTATCACTCTCGGTCGTCACTTCGCCAATATTCTGCAGCACGAGCTTGACGTCGTCGCTAAGGCCTTCGTTGTCGGTAGACCCGATGGTCGAGAGCGTGCTGGAGGCATGGTCCATCGAGACCGAGTTGAGGAAGCTCGCCAGCGACTCGGCATTGATGCCTGACGAGTTGAGAACGGCCGGTAGCGAGTTGCCATCCGACGACAAATCCTCCACGAACAGTGATATGAGCAAGCTAGGATCATCAACACCGTCCCCATCGCCATCGTCGACGTCGTCATCGACGTCGTCATCAGATGTCTTGAGCAAGGGACGATACGATCCGTCTCCTGCTGGGCCACTTTCAATCTTGTCGATGATGGCAGACTTTGCTGTGCCCTTGACCGAAGCAGGTGAACATGACGATGATGATGATGATGATGATGATGATGATGGTGATGATGATGGTGGTGATGGATTTGGGGATGCTGCGGCTGTAGTGGCATCGGTGTTGGTGGTGGCAGCGGTGGTGGTGGTGGTGGTGGTGGTGGTGGTGGTACTCGTGGTCTCGTTGGCTGTCCGTGATGAATGGTGTTGTTGTGCTTGGCCTTGTTCGTCGCCGCGACCACCGCCCGTGGCCTCTACCGCACCTCCTCCAGGTCGGCTACCCGAAGTGAATCCCAAGGGGCAAGACATGGGATAGTGGGAGGGTGGGGGGGTGGGTAGCGGGTAGTGAGGTGGTGGTGGTGGTGGGGGTGGTGGGGCGGGTGGCAAGAGTGGCGGGGTGTGCGTGTGTGGGTGGGTGTAGCGGTGGCGGTGGCGGTGGTAGGGGGTGGGGTGGGTGGGTGAGATATGATCGGCTTGGGTGTCGCGGCACGGCGTCTCCTGCCAACATGCTTTGCTTGCTGCGGCTGACCCAAGCTGACCCTCAAAACGGTTTGGGACAACGTTTGTGGTCGGTCACACATTCCCATTTTTTTTCTGCGGATGAATAATTGTGGTATTGTGAGGGACTGTAGTCTTTTTGTTCTGTGTATGTCTGTTCCGAGGTGGTCAACGCCATGAAACAAACATGGTGGGCTGTTTCACACCAAGGATAGACTTTGGCCTCGAGCAAGCGATCTACGCGCCGTCTTGCGAAGAGTTGTTCGACTTGGAGGTGAGCGTAGAAGCCGGCGAGATGCGCCGAGATGAGAAGCGACGAAGGCTGGAAACGCGCGTGATGCGGTCGGTGGTGGGGCTCGAGCCAGGGCTATAGTTGCGCGAGTTGCGACGCAGGTTGCGACGGCTGCGCGTCGGAGTTCCGCTGCGATGGGTGCCCGGCTTGATGGACGAGTCTTCGTCCTGGCTTGCGTACGCGGTAGTGAGAGCGACGGCGCTTGCGCTCCGATGGTTCCGTATTCTTGAGAGCAAGGCCCTGCTATCGGGCTGCGAGATGGAGAGGCCTTGTGGGCCCAGGACGGGAGGGAGCGGACAAGAAAGCGGTGGTTGCGGAGGAGTGCTAGTCAATGACGGCGGGTCTGCGATCGAGCTCGACGAGCTGGCCGAAGCGAGACGGGCAAGGCCGCGGATGCTGGAGGCATCGAGGCCACGCAAGTGAGTGAGGTCCTTGATGATGACTTGCCAGAGCTCGTACGCCTTGCTCGACGACGGCGCAGAGTAGTTGCCGAGGCGTTCGAGATGAAAGCCGGCTGCGGTTGCGGCAGTGGCGACGTCGGCGTCGACAACCACCTGGCCGCCACACCCACAATCGCCAATCATCTGCGCATCGACCATGCCGGGACCCTCGTAGGTGAACCGCTCCGTCCGCGCCACCCAAGTCCGCGCGACCGTCGCCAGAGAGATGCCCATCCGGACTCGCAAGCCGACCCACACATGATCGACGGTGGGGACAAGGCTGTCGACAAGGAGCTCTTCAGGCCAGTCAAGCTCCATGAGCTCGCGTTGGATGTCGACGGCAGCAGCGACAGCGGCAGCCGCATCAGCAAAGACAACCACAAATGAGTCGCCCTCGGTCCGCACCTCGTATCCGCCGTGGCGGGCGAGGAGACGGCGAAAGGCGTCATTGTGGGCGTCGATGGCAGCCACCATGGCGGATGGGTGTGCCTCCCATAGGTGGGTCGACGACTGAACGTCAGTGATGAGGACTGCAACTTTGCCGTGAGGCGCAGTCTCGCCTTCGGTCGCCATCTTGGCCGCCACGTACGCCGACTGGACTCGCCGGCGCTTGGCCGCCAGCGCGGCGATTACGGCTGCGACGACACCGGCAATACAGCTCCCGACCGTAGCTGTAGCAATGACAAGGGCTTGCGAGCTCCAGGCTTTTGCAGCGGACGCCACCGTGCACGAGCCCCCATCGCCGCCGCACACGCCGCAGTCGTCATAGACGAGGCCCGACTTGACGACGGCATCGCAGCCGGCGCACAAAGTGCTGTTGCCGTAGCACACCCCGCACACATCCTCGAACCTACCGCCACCAAAGCAGATCCCGCATGAGTCGAGCGCTGCATTGGCGCCGTGGCACACGCCGCAGGCGTCGCGATCGGCGTTGTTACCAAAGCACACGCCACACGCGTCGACATCAGCGTTGCCGCGAAAGCACTTGCCGCACGAGTCGATAAAGGCGGCAGGCGGAATGCCAGTCGTTCCGCCCACGCACATACCGCACTCGGAGTTGAGCGCGCTGCCACCACACACGCCGTTGCAGTCGTATGCGACGGCGTGGCCCAGCGAGGGATCACACGATAGGGCACACGTACTTCCGTTTCCGGCACAAACGCCGCAGACGTCGATGGTACCCCCCAGGCCGTCACAGCCAGCACAGGTCGAGTCGTCGCCGCCACAGACGCCACACAAATCGGCAAAGACGCCTGTGTCACAGCCTTCACACCGCTGGAAGCAGTCCCCGCAGCCATCGCGGTGCATTAGTGGGGCTCGGCCCGTGGTTCCGCCCACACACACACCACACGAGTCCACAAAGGCCGAGCCGTTGCAGATGCCAGCGCAGTCAAAGACAACCGGGGTCAACGTCGAGTTGTCGCACGAGGCGACACACACGCCCGAGGCACTCCCGCCACACACACCACAGGCATCGTAGTGAGCGCCACCTAGCGGGACAGGAACGCCGTCACAGCCGAGACAAGACGAGCCGTCCCCGCCGCACTCGCCGCACACATCACGGACACGGCCTGAATGCGGAACACCGTCGCAGCCGGCACATGTGCTGTTGTCACCCCATGCAACGCTGCAGGCATCAACGCAAGCATCGGAGCCAAAGCAGACGCCGCAGGCGTCGATGCTGCTTCCGCCGCCAAAGCACACGTCGCACACGTCCTTGTCCGAGTTGGCGACGTGGCCTGTGCCCGGCCCCGAGCACACGCCGCAGTCATCCACAGCTGCCGGTGGGATGCAGGGAGGCGGCGGTGGCGATGGCGGCGGTGGCAATGGCGGCGGCGGCGGTGGTGGCGGCGGTTGACAGACCCGGATCCCGTTCACGCCCGGGGCCGAGAGCATCAGATGCGAGACACAGGCGGTGCAGTTGGAAGGGCTGCCGGTGCAGTCGAGGCAGTTTTCGTCGCAGATGCCACACGGCACAGTGGGTGAGACAAAGTACTTGCTTTCTGCGGCGACACACTCTTCGCAGATGCTCTTGAAAAAGGTGCGACCGTAGCCGGCCTCACACTCGAAGCACTGCACATCACTGCTTGCACACTCAACATCGCCGCTGGGGTTGACGCAGTGCGCGCGTCGCGAGCAGCGGGGCCCGGCCCAGCCTTTGTGGCATGCAACGCATGTGAGGTTGAGGGAGGGGCCAGGGAGGCAGGATGCGACACGGCCGTGTAGGCAAGGACGCTCAGCCTCGGTCGTCCCGCCGCTGAGATTGAGGACGTACGGCGCCCCGGCGGAGATGTCATTGCGGCACGGCGGGGCGCGATTACTGCAGATTGCCGAGTCGGCAAAGTCGACGAGCGAGCCTGCGCCGAGAAAAACAGCTGAGGCCGTGGCGGCATTGTCGGTGGAGAGGTTGTCCGTGATGAGCGAGTTGGTGACCGCCGACCCGGCAAGCATGGCGTTGGTGTAGATGGCACTGCCAAGCGGCGAGGTGTTGTTGACGATGACAGAGTTGTCGATGACAACCATGCCGTTGCCAACGTTGATAGCGCCAGCACGGAGGCGGCCAACGTTGTGGGCAAAGGTGCTGCGCGCGATGATTAGTCTTGGCGGCGCGCAGTCTGCCATGCCATAAACCCGGACTGCGCCGCCATGGCGCGCCTCCGAGTAGGTGACCGAGACGTCGGTAAGCGTGAGTGAGGCGTTGAGCGGACAGTCGCTTACGACCGAGAAAGCTGCGCCATCGCCCTGGGTAGAATGCGCACGGACGACGGTGACGTTGGTGACCACGCCGTCGGCACCGGTGACACCCACACAGCCGGTAAAGGTGCTGGAGCAGTCATCGAAGGAGACATGGGCCATGACAAGCGATCCGTTGCTGACTTGAACAGCTCCGGCAAAGCCGCTCTCGGCATGGGTGTCGACAAAGGTCGAGCCGCCGTCGACAACAAGGTGTGAGTGGCGGACAAACGCGACGGCGGCACCAGCAGGGGCAAAGGCGTGGGAGACTCGGATGTTGCGCATGGTGACGTGCCAGCCAAAGGCGGACTCGGGGATAAAGACCAGGCCGCCCTGAGAAGAGACCGAGATGTGGGAGAAGTCTGAGTTGCTGATGTGGATCTCACCGTCATGAGCATTGCCGTCGACGCCGACGATAGCACCCATCCGCGCGGTGATGTAGTCGACAGTGACGTTTTGGACGACAATTGCACCGGTGGAAGAAGCGCCGCTGACACGGACGATACCACCTGGTTTCCAGTGCGAGGTCTCAAAGCCAACGAACGTCATCGAGTCGATGGTAAAGATGATGCCAGGAAGAGGGGCGAGGTCAAAAAGGATATTCGGGGCGATGTAGCCGGTGCAGTTGATGCCGACAGCGTTGACGGTGTTGTTGCTGAACTCTCCACGCAGAGTCATCGAGAGCGCAGGAGGAACAAGAACGCCCGTGGTCATGGTTGAGCAGTCGTCAGATATCATAGCTTCCAAACAAACAACGTAGGGCGTTGCACATGATGGCGAGAGTGGCGCACTTTCAATAGCTAATTTGAGGTCGGCGAGAGTGCTGCCGTGAGCAAGAGTAACGTTGCAAGCGCTGCCAGCCGGAATTGCCATTGTGGCAACGAGCAAGGCGGCCACGAGAAAGGTGGTGGAAGGGAAAAGGAAAGGGTGACGCATAAGTGTGTTTGTGGTGGGTGTGGGGTGGGTGTGGTGGGTGTGGCAGTGGCGAGTGAGGTTGTGGCGGGGCTGACGTGCGTGCGCGTGAGAGTGCGTGCGTGAAGCGGAGCGGGTGCAGGCGATGTGTTAGGAGGTGGGGGGGTGGGGGGTGGCATCTTGCTTCTTTTTTTTTGGTGTGTTGGGGGACACAGACTTAGTGACGGTGGGGTTAGGCGTGGGAGGGTGGATACATGCAGACTTAGTGACGGTGGGGTTAGGCGTGGGAGGGTGGATGCATGGCATGCAAGGAGGGTGTGCAGTTGGGCAAAAAGAAAAAAGAATGCGTTACTCGGTATTCCCGTGTGGTCCCCCACCACAGTACTAACCAAGCCTCATGCTGCTTGACTTCCGAGAGCGAGACGGGATCGGGTATTTTCAGCATAGGATGAACGCATTCAAACCCAGAAAGTCTGGCTGAGCTTTTTATTGGTTTGGCAGCCAAATTGTCCCCTCGGTAAATGGGTTAAGCAAAAATGTACATCGTCGGGCAGGAAACTGCACATACGGCCGGCCGATAACGACGACGATGGCAAGATTGACATCCGTCAGCAGCGAGCCACCTAAAGGCACCACCTCACCCACCATGGCCACCTCACCCAACACGCCTGTTCCGCAGGTAGCAATAGCCCCTGTATGTGCAGTGCATGGAAGCTCACTTGGAGGGGACGAGGGGACGAGGGGACGAGGCGGGAGAGGGCAAGGAGGAGGCGAGGAGAGGGAACGAGCAGACTCACACGAGCCATCGATGGGGACGACTCTTGGTGTATGCCGTGTGTGTGTGTGTGTGCGTGTGTGTGTGTGTGTGTGGTGTGTAGGAGGCTGTGGTGGAGCCGCGCAAGTTTGAGCTGTTGCGATCGCTGGCGTCTGGTGGTATTGCCAACACCATCTGTATGTGAGAGGGGATGATGGACAAGGGTGCTGCGATGCGGGAGGTGGCGGGCGGGGAAGGAAGGGGGGATACTCATGGGTGATGTGGGGAACAGCAAGCATTGTGCTCAACTTTAGTGATGTGGCCAAGGTCCGGTCACAATGCCAGAAGCAGGCGATGGCATCCAACCCGAACCTCAAGCCGATCTACAACACGTTTACTGGGACGATGAGGGTGATTGTCAAGGAAGAGGGCATTGGCGGGCTGCTACTTCCTGGAATGGGCGCGTCGATCTTGCGAGAGCTCTCGTACTCGTCGATTCGCCTCGGCCTGTATCCGATTGTCAAGCGGGCGATCGGAACCGACGATGAGCACGGCGACGTGGGGCTGGCCCCCAAGATTGCGGCGTCGCTGATGACGGGTGCGCTCGGCTCGGCCATCGCCAACCCGACCGATCGGATCAAGATCATGATCCAGCAAGAGGCCGGGCTCGTCGACCCCAAGACCGGGCGGTACATCACCGGACTGGCCAAGGGCTCCAAACCGTCGTTCAACGGCACCTTTGCCGCCTTTGTCAAGATCTACCGGACCGAGGGCTTCCTCAACGGGCTCTACCGCGGCGTCGGCCCAACCGTCGTCCGCGCTGCCCTCCTCACCTGCGGGCAAATGGCGTCGTACGACCACGCCAAGCATCTCTTCAAGCGGCACGGCATCCTCAACGAGGGCTTCTCGCTCCACTTTTCCTGCGCCATCATTGCCGCCGTCGTCGCCAACACCATGTGCGCTCCGGCTGACCTCGTCAAGTCACGATACATGGCCGATCGCGCCGGCGCCTCACCGGTTTACAAGTCCGCCATCGACTGCCTCATCAAGACCGTCCGTGCAGAGGGCATTCGCGGTCTCTACATCGGCTACACTGCCTCGCTCTACCGCCTCGGTCCGCACTTTGTCGCCACCCTCCCGGCCCTAGAGTGGATCCGCAAGAACATCTTTGGCCTCGACTACGTGTAATCCCCCGTAAAATTGCCACACTCCTCGCGCACGAGGGCTTCAGCCTGGCTCGCGTGTCTGCAGCGAGACGATGATGACGGAGAGATGACGGCGTTGCCGGCGAGGCCTCGACGAATGCGCCACACTTGTCTCGGAACCTTTGCGGATGCGCACGCCGAAATGGGCGGGACTTCTTGCTGCGATGGCTACGGTTGGTGTGTTGGCTGCAGCGTTGCCGCAGGCAACAGATGTCTTTGATCTCTACGAAGAGCAGGTGGACATCGGCTCGCAATCCTGGAGCGAGACCATGATGGAGATGGCGCTGGCAGTGACGGGATCTGGCGCGCTGTCCGAGGCGGATGCGGTCGGCATCCACCTCGACTCTGACCACGCATATTGGGGCTATGTTGCCGATGGGAGCTTTGGGCGGAGCGGAGGGCTATCCGAGCTCCAGCCGCGGCTCGGATCGCTGGTCGTCTTTGACAAGTTTGCGCTGGCCCGGATCGAGCGGCTCATCGACGCCGCCGTGGCAGCTATGGGACGAAAGCGTGGGCACGTGGCATGTGGCATTGTATTACTCCCTCCGCCTGTCGTCCATGCCCTCGCCATACGCCCGATCGTGGTATCGGAGCTCTTTCCGGACCCATGGGCGCCGCATCCCGGCCATCCGGAGCTGGGCCTCGAGGCTGTTGTCCTGGGCTGGGGCGTGATCCGCCCCGAGCGGGCTGCCGCAGACATGGCGGTCCTCCTCCTCAGCGGGGCGAGTGCCAACTGGAGTCTATTCCAGCTCGAGGAGGCTTGTGAGGACGAGCTCGCTGGCGTGGGCAAGGTCGGCTTGTCGCCGGTTGCCGGCGGGGTGCAGGTTGTCACCCCAGCGAGCGCCGAGCGCATCATCGTCTGCTCGCGGACGCAGGTTGTTGCGCCCAGAGCAGAAGTTATGCCTTCGGCGACACTTGCGGTGCTCCCGGTGGTCTCACGGGACGTGGCACAGTTTGACGATATGCTTGCGGCATGGCCGGTGCTTGAGGGCATGGTTGGCGGTGTGCTGGTTGATGCGCTCTCGAGCGATGGAGCGCATTTGACGGCCGAGCCTGGCAGGGGCGGATGGTCAACGCGGCCAAGCGCAAGGCTGGGCCGCGTGGAAGAGGCCCGAGCGCTGACACTGGTTGCTGGAGTGGCGGCGGATGTTGGCCGGACGGCGTACGTGGTCATCGAGTCGTCCGAGTGCGGCGAGCTGCTGCGGTTGACAGTTGCCGGAACCGGGCGGGGGAGCATCCGAGCGGGGAGCGTTCGAATTGAGGTGGACGGACTCGACGGATCGTCTGTGGTGGCGATTGTGGCAAGCAGCGAGTCCGGCAGAGTGCTGGTGTACGTGGATGGCGAGGTGGTGGGCGAGGGCGCCGGCGAGTGGCTCGGCGAGTCCGGCGGGTGGCGGACGGCGAGAGTGCGAATGTCGGACGCGCAGCGGCGCGGCGCTGTGGTCTGGCTTCAGCTTTGGGCGCGGGCGCTCGAGGCCGGCAGCGTCCGCGACGTCGTGCATGGCCTGGGCATGATCTCGTGAGCAGACGTGGCGGAAGGCAGACACTTTACTTGGTCTTGGGCGGGTACGGGATAGAGAGGACGTTGATGCCGAGGTGCGTGGTAAAGCCGGAGATGACGTCGTGGGCAAAGTGGGTGTAGAGGATGACAGAGGCGGCGAGGAGGGCGTAGGCGGCGGTGAGCTCGTCAACAGGCGGGGCGGGAAGGAGGCCAAAGTGAGCAAGCGCCGAGTTGGCGACAGCGAGGGTGGGGAGAGCGAGGGCAGTGTGGACGACCGGGAAGTCCATGAGGAGGAGATGAGCGGTGATGAGGCGGCCGACGAGGTAGGCCGAGAGCAGGCCGATGGAGGTGAGGGTGATCCAGGGTGCAGAAGCGAGAATGCGGCCTGGTGAGAAAAAGAACCACGCCCATGCCAGGGCAAAGAGGTAGAGGCAGGGGAAGAGGTTGGCGGCGAGGGTGGCGGCCGAGACAGTGCCGTGCTTGGGCTTGCGGACGCAGGCTGAGAGGTTGGTGAAGACGGTGGAGAGAGCAATGGGCAGCTCGGCAAAGACAACCAACTGGTTGAGAAGCACGCCGTCGAGGATAGCAAACGAAGTGCCAAAGACCTCGTTGGCGGGCATGAGCCAGATGTCGGTGGAGAAGGCGGCGGCGGAGAAGGCCAGAGCGATCATAATAAGGATGCCCTCGGTTGGCCCGTTGATGACGCCGAGAGCGAGGGTGTGGGTGTGGTATTCTTCGAGAGTGGCGGTAAAGAACATAATGCACGAGATGGTGAGCATAAAGAGGGCGGACGGATCAGTCGGGCCAAGACGAAGAAGAGCAGTGACGACCAGGGTAGTGACCGAGGCATTGATGGCATCGCAACCATGATCAAACAGCTCACCAAGAGGAGAGCTCGACTTTGTTCTCCTCGCTTGTTTGCCATCAATAGCATCCATAGTCGAGTAAAAGAACAAGCCCACACCGACTGAGATGTACAACCAAGTAGGAACAATCTCTGTCAGCGTCGGCGCGTAGATGATAAAGAGGAGGAAATTAACGAGAGGCCAAGCAAAGCCGACAAGGGTCACCAAGTTGGGTGCCATCCAAAGTGGCAAGAGCGTGACTGCGAACCTCCACCAAGGTTGGAGAATGTTGTTCGAGCTACCATTACAAGTGAGTATGTCTATGTCATGGGGTGTGTGTGTGTGTGTGGGGGGGGTGGGGGG